ATCCAATGTGGAAAGTAGAAAGACTGTCAGACCCCATCCATTTGGTTCGTTTACAGTTCAAACGCTGTAATTCTGCTGTATTTAGTGAAGACATGTTTCCAGGAATAAGAACAAGAGAAGGCAAAAAGCTGAAAAAGAAAATGTTCAGCCAAGACATTAAAGCACGCTGCAGTTTGATATTCAAACAACTGATGGAGGACAATAGCGGTGATGTTACAAAAATTAAATGTCAACTACCCCAAGTACTGGAAGCCACTCTGCGCTGTTAATCAGGGGACTGCTCAAAATGTCGGCATCATTCAAAGGTCTGTGGGGGAGGAAGTACTAACAGCTGGTGGATGCGATCAGCATACCTGGGCCCTCATCAAGTGACTCATCTTAACATGACAGAAGATGATAAGAATATCCTGCTAGAAGTTCTATGAAACTATCCTGCGATGTTGTAGAAAGACTGCGACTGAACACAAACACACAGTAATGTGAGGCTGTGAACAGATCAATCAGTGTTTCATTACCTAAAAATGTGAACTATTCTAAAAACTTTGAGGCAAGAATGCATTCAACAATACACAGGCTCAATAACTGCCTGGGATCATCACTGAAAACAAAAGTGACACACTTGGGAGGGAAACTTTCAGCAAGGACTCTGAGATCACTGAAGATAATGGATAAAGACTGCACTTACCATAAGCTGTATCGAAAGCGTCCACAAACTAGGCAACGTATTCTAGCCAGACAAGGAAGAATGATACAGGCCCATCTGAGGTACAAGACTCAGCCAGGAAATATGATGTCTGACTACTCCAAAAGACTACTAGACACCAAGGGCGATTACTCCTATGCAAATGCTTAGCTGGAGGCAATGGACACTGCAGATAGAAAAGAATATCTTAATTCCATGTGCAAAATGACAGTACTCAAAAGACACCCTGAAAAAAAAACACATTGTACAGAAGGGAAAACTGTAGTGGGGAAATCCGTAGGTAACACAATGCATGTCATAAGCATTGTATTACTTACTACCACCTGATGAGACCTATCGAGAGGTCAAAACAGTTTTCTCTGAATATGAAGAAACAAATAAAGAAACTACAAAATAAAAATATAAATCCGAAAAAATTCTAAAGTAAAATAACTAGCTGAATGAATGAATGAATGAATGAATGAATGAATGAATGAATGAATGAATGAATGAATGAATGAATGAACGAATGAATGAATGAATGAATGAAAGGAAGAAAGGAAGGAAGGAAGGAAGGGAAGGAGGGAGGGAGGAAGGAATGTATTTAATACAGCACTGTCACCAGCATGGTCTACTAAAATAAAGACCACACTCTATCATTCTTCATTCTTACTCCATCCGTACATCCATCCAATATCATGATACCTGGATTATTTTCATGTTACAATGTAAATTTTATCATGCAGTCTGGAAATCCACCATGTCCAATACAATGCCCATAACTTTTGCAGCACTGTCTATTATTGCTAATGGAATGAGGTTCTAAACTTAGGTTGTCGACATTGATGCACAAACTGTTGTGGCATAAATGTGATGCATCAAGCTTCTTTGGAATATTCAGACTTCTCAACTTTATCATTAATGCCAGTCTGTGGACATGTTTTTTCTTCCATGCGTTTGTTTCTGGATCCCTATAAGACAATAGACATTATATTATATTGGCTGTTACAGTTCCTGTCCATATTGAACAATTATTATCGTGTGCTGGCACTGAATTTAAAGGAATTTTCCTAGACAGGCTTTCAAAAAAATCTTCCATCTTAACTTTTAGATGGTGTAGGAATACATTTCTGCTAATAATAATATTAACAATTTTTAAAATCCCTGTGAATTTATGGCCCAAAAAAAATTAATTTTTTAATTTTTTTTTTAAAATAAACAATTCTAATGATATTTTCTAATTTTTAAAGTCAATATATACAACGTGTGAAAATTTCATGTGTCTATCATTATTAATTAAAAAAAATATATCAATTCAAAGTTTAGTCAGTATTGCCCTGACAGGCCATAGAACACAATTAATTTGACTATATATTCTCTACATTCGTTTGTCAGTACTGAACTCTCTCCTGTGTGACAATCAATACAAATTATATATTAATCTAAAATACCTTCAAAGATGACTTCACGCTTAAGTTCTTGTCAAGGGTTGACCTGCATTTTTTTGAGAGGCTGAATTGTAAACAAAACACCATGCAATGGAACACAGATTTTACTTCCGGTTCATCACCAAGGCCTTGTCACTCACTGTGCACTGCCGCAGCAATACACACAGACAACCACACCATAAGCTCACATTCTAAAGAATAAACAATTACCTTTAAAGCCCTACCAAAAATGCATCAATAAAACTCTTCTATCACCAACATAATTTGAGAGCAAAAAATGTTCTAAAAATAGACTAGAACTACATTCGAGGGTACTGAACTGGAAGTACTAACTGTGTACCGATTCCATATGTCTTCCCTGAAGTCCCACTCCTATGTTTTGTAGATCTATACCGCGGCTTGCCTCGTTTGTGCGGTAGCAGGCAGGAATCCGGTAACCAGACTTGCAATAATAGTGCTGTAATAAATGTTGGTAATGCGCACTCCTTTAAGAAATTACTAGGAGCAAACTTCAAGGAGAGAATCTGTTAGTGAGTTTCCATGATGCCCTGTTCAATTAGTAGTGGGTTCAGACCCAAACCGCACGACTATCTCTGGAGTAATATAGTTCCTAATAAAATTTAGTAGTGTATAATGGTTTTGTGACTGCAGTGGCAGTATTTACGGTAGGAAACCGGCAAACCCCACAACGGAACAGACAAGAAGGCACCCTGCAGATGCCGTTTATGTCGCGACTGCGGCAAATGTAATGTAGTTGTATTGGTATATTGTGCATTGGAACCATGGAGTGATTGGCCTATGGTGGCGTAGTTAAAATAGTTCCCTGAGTTAGGGGATAGCTGTTACGTTTCTACTAAGTGAACTGCTGACAGTACGGAAAGGTGACGAAGGGAAACTATGCAAACTATGTGGTTAATGGATATTTAGAAAATTGGGAAATCTGTCGTTTTACATTGATTAGAGTAAAATTTATGTACAGAATGGATTCGTCTGGCTGTGTAACTTACAACTGGCATTGTATAGCAGTATTTGGAAATTAGGGGTAAACATATGGCTTCCAGCGAGAAAATAATAATTGTGATGACTAGCAAGTGTCTTCGGCTTAGTAGACCTTTTGGTTCACTGAACTTTAGCTTCTTTACTTCATACAAACCCCATATTCACAAAATTAAAAAGTAAATAAATAAAAGATAAATAAAAATAAATAAATAAATTTAAAAAGCCCAACCACCCCAAAAAAAACAAAGAAATAAAAAATAAAAAAAAAATGCAAATAAATAAATAAATAAAATAAAATAAAATAAAGCAAGAACAATCGTACCCAATGCGATCCCACGCAAATTATGTCAAGTTTTTGGCCAAATACATCACAGCATATTTGGATGAACAGTTCAGTGAGAACTTTACTTCCATGTTATCAAAAAAGGAGGAATATTTAGTTGTTTACATCTTCAGTTCTATCTTATGATATTTAATAATGGTATGTGAATCTTTCTTACGAAAAATATATCGTAAAAACAAACGTACTCGGCGCGACATTCCTTACAATAGGATTAACACTACTCTCTCTCTCTCTCTCTCTCTCTCTCTCTCTCTCTCTCTCTCTCTCTCTCTCTCTCTCTCTCTCTCTCTCTCTCTCTCTCTCTCTCTCTCTCTCTCTCTCTCTCTCTCTCTCTCTCTCTCTCTCCCATCGTTATGCATTTATGTGTACACATATTTTTTTGAAGACTAACTTTCCTTCCACATATTAGATGCCTCAATAACAATGTCAAATACGACACTTGGCAAAATATTTGATAGAGCATGGTGTTCAGATCAGCTTTTGAAGTCTTGCCAGCATATGCACGGCATCATCTCGATCATGTAACATTAAAGGTTCAATATTTAGGGCATCATATTTTAGTATTTTTTCACACTGAATGACTTGCAAAACCTTAAATTTGGCAACCGAATAATATTCCATGTCATACAGAAAAAGAAAAAAAAAAATATATATATATATATATATATATATATATATATATATATATATATATATATATATATATATATATATATATATATATATATATATATATATATATATATATATATATATATATATATATATATATATTGTAGAAGTCTAGTTATATTGTTATGAAGGGAAACGAAACTGTTGGTAAAACATCCAAAGCTGCCCTCCATGTTGTTGGTTTCCTAAAGGAAAACTTCGTATAATGATTTCAGATATTATATAAAACGGCACTTGATATACTTGATAAAACATGTGTAATGAAAAATGCTCAAACCTGAGAACATCCAACCCATCATTTTAGAGTGATATCCCCAACATAGAATAAAATCTGAAATATTCATAATTGTTCTATCACAAGTCGAAAAGTATAATTGTTTCAGTAACTTATACTTTGATATGTCACAATAGCATAATCCATAATACCTTTGAATGTCTCAGTAAAGCCAATGTTGTTTTCTTTTTTAGTCCAAAAGGTTAATGAGAGTTTTGTAATTAAAAATTAATATTTAAATAAATAAATCCTATCAAATTATATCTGAACAGAACTGCAATGATTCCAGAGATGGCTCATAATAAAGGAATAAATTATTGTTTACCAAATCCTGTATAAACTAAGACAAAAAAATAAATTCATAGCGAAACATCTAGATTTGAACTCAAATCCACTTAAACTCTTTGGAAAATCAGGTCCTACTTTATTTGCAATTGTTTACTTCGTAAAAACATGACAAATATCAGGTAGGCATTATCCTTAATCCAGGACAAAAATTAAGCACACAATATACATACACATAATAAATACACTTCATAAATAAACTCATTAGGTTAACGTTGTTGGTATAGGTCTATATCAGCCTCTCCGGTAGCCTAGTGGTTAGAGCATCCGCCTTAGATGCGGAAGGTCGTGGGTTGGATCCACGGTCGAGTCATACCAAAGACATACAATAAAATAGTACTAACAACTGCCTCGCTTGACGCTCAGCGTTAAGGGGTTAGTGTTATGACTAGTCAACCTGATGTCAGGATAATGTGACTTGGTGGGACATCATGCTACAAGCCTGCGGCATGATGCCCCAGTGCTAGACACTACTATAAACTGCCACACTGCAGACATCGTAGCGATATGACTGAACAATTGTTAAAGCTTCGTTAAAAATCATAATCACATCACATCACATCACAGGTCAATACTAAGCGAAATAGTTCCCCCTACTCTACATGTGTTCTTAACGATGGCCGATTTGTTGGTGTGATGGCATCCATTCATAAAATCGATGAACAGTTTGCAAACAAATCTCTGCGAAACACATCGGAGTTCATTTTAAAACTTACCTGGTAACATTTGCATCAAATTTGTATGACTCATTAGTAAGATTTTCCAAGTCGTAGTTGGTAATTTACGTCTTTCAGTTCAAAACATGACCCAAACATTCAGTGCAAAGAATTATTCCTATCTCAAATTAATAGAGACTTAAACATTAGAACATACACATAAATACACGTGTTAATAAATTAGGAAGTATCCAGTTTAGAAATCCATGCTATGTTAAAGTCAAGTAAATGCTCTAAATTATGACGTTTGCTTCCAGAAACTAACTAATTACTTCCCAATCAAAGCTCATCATATTCAATTAATAGTCACTAAATTCTAATATAGTTGTAAATGGATAGGTAAGCATTACAAATAGCACGTGCCTTATGTTTATTACACATTTTTAACGCTACATCATTTTTTATTTCTGCTTTACGAAAGTTTTTTAACAAATTCACCAATTTGAAAAACCTATAAATTTAATATACTTATCAAAATATAACAGATATTTTTATTTATCATTAAAATCCTGCATTGTAATTCGAAATATTGAGAAAATCATTATTCCCTTGTTATCTTTCTGCAGTTCCTAAATACCTTTAAAAAAAATTACCACTATTTGAAAATGACAGTTCGTTATTAAAAATATGGCTGTTGATAAGTCGAAATTTGATCTGCCCAAGGAACTAAAGCAATTATTGCAAGTATGTATGTTTACTTAGTGCTCGTTTATGGTCCATTAACTGCGCGTTGTATTTTACCATCTCCTTGACATTGTTTGACTTGCAAAACAATTTAAAGAGTGCACATGTGATCTTAAATCTGCATTGCATTTTACCATTTGCTTTGTGATCATTTGGCAGACACATGTAATTAATCTATATTTATTTTCAAGTTGGTAATAATACGAGGAATTATAAGGCTTTAAAAAGGTTTGGTTTCTTAATAACATTGTGAGAAAACTGTTCATCCTTATAAATTTTTGGGTGGAGAAAGGACCTTTTTAACCCGTATAAATTCTACACATATTGTCATTAAAATCTTCGACGTCGCAAACAATACATTTTAAACTATCTACCTTATTGTATTGCCACCAAAAAAAAACATGTTCATAAACTACATCAATGCTTTAGTTTTTATTCTTGACAAAGTTTTCGTGATTATGTATGAATGAAGCATTTAATACATATTGTATACCTAATAAGTTTAAGATTATTTTCTTTCAGTCCATAGAATTTCAGTTAGCCAAAGCCTCGGGTACAGTCAAATTGTTTGTTTAAAGGGATGAAAATTAAAGACTTCATTATAAGAAGTACATTAAAAGGACATAGGCTGTTTAGACGGATAAAGGTGTCAACTGTTATTTAGAAAAGCAATCATGTTAATAGTCAAACTTGAGCATAGTCGTAGTCATATGGCTACAACATAAGTTTATTTCAGATAATTAAAACCATACTACAAATGTATGCCTCTATGAATGTAGTATGATAATGGTGATGTGATGTGATTATGAATTTTAACGAAGCTTAAATAATTTTTAGTCATATCGCTACGATACATTGTCACAGTTTATAGTGATGTCTAGCACTGGAGCATCATGACGCAGACATGTAACATGATGTCCCACCCAATCACATTATCCTGACACCAGGCCGACCAGTCCCAACAATAACCTCCTAATGCTGAGCGCCAAGCGAAGCAGCTGTTAATATCATTTTTTTAAGTCTTTGATATGACACAATCGGGAATCAAATCCACGACCTCTCGCATCCGAGGCGAACGCTCTAGCCACTAGGTCACTAGAGAAGTGCACTTGAATAAAATGTAGGATTGTAAATGAACGATAATATGATAATGGAAATGAATTCCAAAACTAATGAACATATACATTACTTCAAACTGACCATTGTTTTGACAGTTAACAAGTTTGGTTTTTTGGGGTTTTTTTTTTTACAAATTTCGTGGTAACAAAATATTCAACTACGAATTCAAAAATCTTATGAACACCGATCCTTCTTTGATAGACAACATGACCAATTTCCCTAGCCACAAATTTGCATACAGACCAAACTACTATTTAAAAAAAAAAACTCGAAATAATTATGTCATTGAAATGAATAATTTCATCGCATCCTCTTTGATTTTGTCCTTGCCAAATAACCAAATTATTAACATGTTTTGTGAAATAAAATGGCCTTGTGGTGAATTTCACTAATAAATGCTTAACTCTCACTAATAAATGCTTTAACTCTCTGATGATGTGCTGGTAACACATAGAGGATATTTTTTTTCTACATTAACAGCGGATATATTTCGTAGTGTGGGACAAAGCAAATGTGGTATTTTAACGAATGGCTTCACCACTAGTTAAAATAAATCGTTTTCTTTATTCATAAGATAAATTATATACGGAATTAATGTATTAAAAAAAAATGTTTTATTATATACCAAACGTGCTCCGAGTCGAAACTTCAAAGATTAAATTCACTCTTCTTCACTCTACCTCCCACCATATTGTTAAGTTCACCTCACTTTCAAGCGCATTTATTGGCTGATTATCAGCCCTTTAAGATAACTATTCATATGCGATAAACTAATCTCTTGTAATAAATAACATTTTTGACAATTTATAAACTGTTTTATCCTATCTGACCACTAAGGTTAGTCTAATTGCGCGATGCTATACGCCGGGTTTTTTCACTGCCAAAATAGTGAAAGAGTCAACACTTCCTAAAGAAGCAAGCAGTGACGAAATCAAAATAATTAGGTAAATAATAATAATAATAATAATAATAATAATAATAATAATAATAATAATAATAATAATAATAATAATAATAATAATAATAATAATAATAATAATAATAATAAATAATAATGTTTTCATTTATTGATCAATATCACAAGGTGCTTATCCTTGCTGTAAATAGCACTTCAACGGGCTAACACTCAAGCGTAGCGTGATAAGGATGAACTTTTTTCACATGTAAAAATATTAGAATTAAACAAATAAAAAATATTTCAATGATATTTTTCTGTATTTCATACGAATGTATATTTAAAACAACATTAGAGAGGATGAATATTTTGCTAAATTCGCCTGATTGGCTGATCATGCCTGTTCTTGTATATCAAGAAAGACAATATGCATTACTAATTAATATTGCAATTATGCGACATGAACCATGAACGAATACTGATAGTTTTAAACGTTTTACCTAAAATTACCTATTTTGCAGGGGGGGGTTATTAAACTTAAGTATTTCTCTATTTGTGGAGACCTCGCAGTCTCGCTATAGCACATAAAATCTTCTCGTCCAAACACAAATAAACAAGAAACCACTCCTCTCAGAACAGAAAAACCACTGGTCTTAGAAAAAAGAAAACCGTTAGAACTGTATAAATGCTCATTCTTTCCCAGATACCAAAGATTTTTATGTCTGTTTTTGCCTGTGCCTCCGAAAGTTTTTGAATGGATATTTTTTCCTGATGAAAACCAAGAAAATAAACTGTTGAAGCCTGTTTTGACCGAGGTTTACAAATGTTTTCTGCATTTTTTATTGATACAGAACCGGCTAACGTTCTAAAAAAGGAGCATGCTAGTAATTTTGGGATTTTTGCTACTGATGTAAATGCAAGCCTTCTATCCCGCTTGACTTCATCCTCACATTATACGCAAATGCATGCAAGCCCACCAAGCAAAGTTACCACGAGTAGCCATGGCAAGAAGGAAGTCACGTGTGGTACAAAACAACCTAGATCAGTAAACCAAACAAACCCCTATTATCATACTTCTTGATACGATAAAAGATACGATTGATGATTATGGTTCCAAATCCCGGAAACATACGAGTTTACTCACATAAGTAAAGTTCTTTTAAGGCGCATCAGTCAGGTTATTATGATTAATTGGGACTATACAACATATATAGAGATTTGGTCAATATTATTTATTGTGATATACTATATAGGTGATGACTTTTGCTACACGAATAGGATTATTGATCGCTACTCAACGGTATATAAAATATGCTGCTGATATTTATTGTTGTGGCTTTGTTTGTTATCGATTGTTGCTATATTTTGTAGATACTTTGTATCTTATATAAAGACAAATCATCATATATTGATTAATGAGCGTATATATTGGTGGATTCACATTAATGGTACGAAAAATGGAATGCTTCGAATGCCACATAAATTATTAAAAACCTATTTCACTTTTATGCGTCTTACTCAAAAGATGTATGGTTTTACAAATACGTATCTGGAGTATCCAAATAAAGGAATCGACATAGGAATTGCAATTTTAAGAAGAACAATGTAAACTCAGTCAAGCGTATCACAATAAGCGTAAAATTATTGTATGATTGTGGAAGAAAACTTCAAGTCGCTGACGTTAGCCGAGTCTCCAGTGAGCAAACCTTGCGACAAAGATATTGAAATGAGAAGTGAAGCAAGAAGTAAAACTGACATTAAAATGAAGCTAGCGATAATTACCATAATTACAGAATTATACTTTAAGTATTAATATACATTTGACATCCATACTCAATAGGCAATGAGAGACATTTATGAAACAGTTTCTATATCCAGAGAAGCAGAACAATAGCCGAG